TTTGAGTTGAATTACTGAAATAAATGAACTTTTCCACGACATTCTAATTTATTGAGATGCACCTGTATATATACATAGAAGGTGCACAGTGTCATTCACACAAACACTAAACACCATCATGGTAACACACATGATACTGATGCAATAAACATTAATTTAACAACATTAGATGTAAGATAAAACACTAATGTACACAACTGATAAGAAAAAACTAAGAAGAAACATAGTTATTTCAAATATAAAATATGAAGTGTCATGCAGGGAATTCTGGGAGTGTCAATTTACAGTTTTTCACTGTAAATTATACATTTACTTTTTCTTTTTCACTTCCAAAAACCGTATTTTTAACAGCATTTTACTGTAAAATTACGTTAATTTTACAAAACTTTTACGTAAAATTTACAAACCGTAAATTGACACTCCCAGAATTCCCTGCACGACACTTCATAGTTGATGTTTTTTTGTTGAAATAACATTCAACATTTCTTAGTTTTTTCTTATCAGTTGTGCACATTAGGGTTTAATCTTGCATCTAATGTTGTTAAATTAATGTTTATTGCATTATTTCAGTATCATGTGTGTCACCATGATGGGGTTTAGTGTTTGTGTGAATGACACTGTGCAACTTCTATATATAAGTATTGTCCTCCTCAGCTCGCAGACAAGCTGTTTGTGATGAGCTTTAGTTCATCATGTGACTTTCTCATCACCACAAGTTTTTGGTGGTTATCAGTGCATTACAATGGTTCAAAACAGATTTTAGTACTTAAATATGTTGGTTTATTAACATTACATCAGTTAATGAAATACGGTATTTTATTGTGAATTTAGATTAAGTCTGTAATACCTAAAATGTTGCTACCATATTTTTTACGTTGAAGTTTTGGCAACCACAGCTGCCGGTATTTTACCGTAAATGTCACAGATTTTTTTTTACAGTGTACAGCCATATCTAAAATGTCTTGAGTAGAGACGGTACACCTCATTACACATGCAACAGAAACAAAACCTGCAATATATTCACATGTGTGAACTATAAACCATGTGTGTAAAACAGAAATTTGATTACCAGGAAAACCAAAACATTGTGTCTGGTCACACAAGCTGTGCTTGTTGATTCTCATACTAGCACATTGTTGCTCTGCGTACATTATGAATGAAACTAATAACCTTCGAGGTCTCATGAATGTCCATTCAGGTTTATTTCAAAATATACTGGGAAGTCAGTGAATTGCAGGTATTGTCTGCACTTAACGGTGAAAAGCTGACCCTTATAACATACTTAGTTTATAACAGTTGTAGTTCAGTGAGGAGTTTGAATGAGGTGGAGGATGTGGGTGAGTTCATTAGGGCCAGGATTTTACACGTCCCTGGATACTAGTTAACAGTCATGAACCGGAAAAGTGATGACATCATCTAAATGCCAATATTAATAGTATATGTGTTGTATTGCAGGTTTAAATGTTCTTAAATATAATTATTCTTTAATAATTCTATGTAAAAGAAAAATTTATTGTTTACACTACCAGTCAAAATTTTGAAATAATTAAGATTTTTAATGGAAAGAAGTCTTTTATACTGACCAATGGTTATTTGATCAAAATACAGTAAATAAATATTGTATTGTAATATTGTAGAATATTCATATTTTTGTTATTTTGATACACTACAACTACAAAAGTTTAGAAAATTAAATTAAATATTCAATTGGTCAAAAGTGACAGTAAATAAATTAATAATGTTACAAAAGATTTCTATTGCAAATACATGCTAATTTTCTATTCTTCAAAAAATATTGAAAAAAAATGCATCATGGCTTTCACAAAAATATTGAGTTTTAACATCGATAATATTAAGATATGTGTAAGGTATTATCATGTAAAATAAATAATAATGTTAAGAAAAATTGTAATATACAATTCTAAATTATATAATGTAAATGTATATAGAGATCCAGGAATGCATGCTCATGATTGTGATACAGCGTGTCTCAGAACATAAGTTGAAGATAAACTGACCTTTAAAGCTAAAAGAGATGTCATGACACAGTATTTCATTGTTCACAGCAGGAGCCTCTCTAAAAGTTCCTCTCTAAAATGAAAACGAGAAACACATATTCATCAGAGTGAACATGCTGGATTGCTTATTTTTCAGACCAGCATGCGGATGACATGGAAAAAAATAGCATTTTCTTTGAGGTGACAAATTTCAAGACAGTCAAGGACTGCTGATGCTTAATTTTTCTGCCTGAGATGAGGCTCGTCATGAGATGGAAATCCAGCTCTCAATAAAAGATTGAGAAACGCTGACATAAAGGACACAGTGTAAGAGATGAAGTGCACTAATGGCCCCCAAATTGGTCATAAAATGAAGAGATACACTTGAATCATGTCACAAATGGTAATATTAGACCTCGAACAACCACCAAACCTAAAATCTGTCCAATTTCTTTATGATTAATTCTTCCTCTTTGGTCAATCCTAGTGCAAGTGTTTTGAGCCGGCCTGTCTTCACATTTAGCTTTTGGCAAATGGAAGCATGATACATAGTGCACAAAAATTTCACTTTTACTGTTGGAATTTCATCCAAAAATTGTCTTGCATCCCAAGGCATTCATCGTCTCACATCCACTCTAAACACC